ATAGAGAGGGTGATTATCCACACCCAAATTACACTCCTTCCGCGCCGTGGGAAGAGCCTACTTTCAAAATAGTAATAGAAAGTCTCCCAATGAAAAAGGCTGCCTATGATCGGACAATCCTAAGGCGCATAATAGAAGAGCAAATGTATAGCATAGCAGTAGCAGGAGCCACCCGTATCTTCACAGACGGATCGGTGGACACAGAGTATGAGAGTCCTGGCGCTGCTCTTTGCACGGCCAGCGTACAGGCATATTGGAGACTGGGAGGGCTAGTATCATCAACCCAAACTGAGCTGTTTGCCATACAACAGGCATTCGCATATGTGATTGCACAAAACACTCAAAATGCAATCATACACACAGACTCAAAAGCTGCACTTCAAATACTAGGACAAAAACAGTGGAAAGATAATGTGGAAATAATTACCACCATTTTGTATCTTGGAGCAGTCGCTAAAGGCAAAGGACTCAACATAACTTTAAACTGGATCCCATCCCATATTGAAATCCCATTAAATGAAAAAGCTGATGAAATTGCTAAATTGGCAACTCGTCATCCAGTGATACATAAAACAATTCAACCCAGCCTGGAGAACATAAAAAACATCATCACTAAAAAACTCTCACATCTCAACAAAGCCTACCTACACCAAAGAATAGCTGAAGGTTCGCTGTCTGCAACATGGTATCTTCAGGCAACCAAATTAGAAAGGTTAAATATCCCAAAAGGAATCCACAGGGAAATAGCAGTTAGGTTATATAGACTACGTCTAGGTTACAGATGCAACTGGGAGATTGGTGAACCCCGACAGAGAGAGTGCATCTTCTGGCAAACTGTCACAGAAAAGCCATTACTTCACTATCTTCTGGAATGTGAAGCAACCAATGACCTTAGAAGAGCTTTAAGAGTTCCTGAATCATGCAGTGGCTACCCTGAAGCCATCAACACAGCCACTCTCCTGGTCAACAAAGGTGTTCAGCAGCTGGACACCCTCATAAAGACTGTGGAGCAGTATCCTCCCCCGCGATAACAGCTCGATGGTTAAATGCAAACTCAGAATACTGAGAAAAAAAAATTGTACCACTTATAGGCTATTCATGCCCATACCACCTCTTGGGTGGCTTAATCTTCATCAATCATCAATCAATCTGTTTAAATCATAGCATAAGTAAGAACTCTGCTTAGTGTTTGCAGGTAATAGTTGTGTGTGTGTAAACTAAAAGTCTTTGAAAATGAAATAAGTTATTACGAAACGCATTTAAGTGTCGCGTCAGACTAGAAATAAAAATGAATTTTGGAGAATTGATTTTTCAATTACCATCAACAGTAAAAGGAAACATAAGAAAGATCGAGAAAATTCGTGTTAGAATTATTAATCTTACTTTTTCGGTCATATTTAATAATATATGTCTACAGGAAAGACTGCTACCAAAATATACTAATATTAAAACGCACGACCCAGCAGGAAGGAATCAAGCCTTCACGATAAAATATCGCCAAGATCTGATTCGTAATCAGATATACGAGGCAGAAAATGAAATCAAAGACACCAAACGCAACTACTTCATGCTACAAACGAATGTAGAAACAGCAACATCGACGAAAGTCTCCGTACTCGCATCGAGCAACACCTCGACATCCTCACAGACCGACATCACCTCAGCACTGAAACAAGGATAATCATGAAACTAACAACGTTATACGGAGGACCTATGGCAATTCCACGACCAAGAGACGGCTTCCTGAACCTTGCAGGAATCAACCTCACTGAGGACCAAGTCACTCTCCTAAGTCTGGGTATAAACTGTCATGTTATGTCCAGACCGAGTGAGATGGCCCGGAAAGTGGAGTTGGAGATTCTGTTGGACGACATATTCGACCTCGAGACACAAAGAAGGTCACCACCAAAGACACCTTACAAGCAGAACTTATTGCGGAAGGAGGAAAGAATCGAGGCAACTACAGAAGCACCATACTGTCCCCTGAGCTCAAAGCGGCAGCTAAGAGCCTTCGTGAGAACAAGGAAATAGTTGTCAGGAGAGGTGACAAGTCGCCAATATACGTCATTCTTAAAAAAGACGAATATCTGGCGAAAATGAACCTCATACTCTCTGACCAAACTAAATTCCAAAGGGTAACGAAGGACACTACAGCCGAATTGAAAGCACAGGTCAACAAATTGATCGAAACTGTGAACGCCAAGAAATCCGGACTCCACCTGCCAAAGATTATTGGGGAATATAAACCTGGATACGCGTATGGGAATGTCAAGACACATAAGCCTGGAAACCCACTTCGGCCAATCATCAGCCAGATACCCACACCCATGTACAGACTGGCGAAACGACTCAACGGCTTGCTGACTCCTTATGTCCCTTGTGCCTTCAGCCTGAAGTCTCCAAAGGAATTTGTTGACTTACTGCGGGGAACACGGGCCACAGGGATAAGAGCCTCGTTGGACGTAGAATCACTGTTTACCAACGTACCTGTGGAAGAAACAATCGGGATGATAGCGGACAGAGTGTATCGTGATCTGGCCTGTACTCCTCTTGACATACCAGAAAACATTCTAAGGAAACTACTCCAAGCTTGTACTAAAGAGGCACCCTTCTTGAGCCCGGATGGGCACATGTATAAGCAAGTAGATGGGGTCGCCATGGGTTCTCCCCTAGGTGTCCTGTTTGCGAACTTCTACATGGGTACCATCGAGCAAAAAGTCTTAGTCGACACTAACTCGAAACCGGCCATATACTGCAGGTATGTTGACGACATTTTTACACAGGTACCTAATGTCAGACATCTGCAGGAGCTGAAGGAGGCATTTGAGCAGAATTCTGTGTTACGTTTCACTTACGAGATGGAGAAGGATGGGAAGCTGCCCTTTCTAGATGTAACAGTCATGGAAAGGAGCGGAGGTTTCCACACTGCAGTCTACACTCAGGAAACAAACATAGGAATGTGCCTAAATGCCAACAGTGACTGCCCAGACAGGTACAAAAGGAGTGTTGTTAACGCTTATGTCGACCGTGCTCTCAGCCACAGCTCAGGATGGAAGCAAGTCGACGAAGAACTCTGTAGGGTATAGCAGGTACTAGTCAACAACGGCTTCTCCAATGGTTTCGTTGAAGACATCATAAGAAGGAAAGTGAAACGCCATGCAACTCTGAAGAGACAACTAATACAACACCTATACCCCCTATTAGACTATTTTACAGGAACTTCTTTTCCACAGCTCATAAAACGGAGGAAAGGGTCCTGAAAGATATTGTTAATAGAAACGTTATCCCTACAGACAAAAATCAGAAGATACAACTGACGATTTACAATAAAACCAAAAAAACGGCCAGCCTACTCATAAGAAACTCTCCAAACACAAAGCAGAACGCTTTAAAAGAGACCAACGTCGTCTATGCCTTCAAATGCCCTCTTGGGGACTGTAAGCCTCAAGAAACTCAGTATATAGGCAAGACAACAACATCTTTTTCCATGCGATTAACGATGCATAAGCAACAGGGCTCCATTAAGGAACATATAATCTCTTCCCACAACCAAACCATCACCAGAGAAATCTTAGCAAACAACACAGAAATCATCGATAGATACAGCGATAGCAGGCGGCTTGACATCTGCGAGGCACTACACATCAAGAAGTCAACACCAGCAATCAACAGCCAATTAATGCACAACTATATTCTACCCACTTCAAGACTCCGCTCCAATATAGAAATTTCAAGAAATATGGGCCAATAGGCCGTCTGCAATTACTTCTATTCTTACCTTCAATACCCATTGTTTCGTGTTCTATCCGGTGTTGAAAGTTTTGTTCACCTCATCCAAAACTGTTGTAACATATCACCTCACCCAAAATGCGGGTATAAAATGAAAAATGAAAGCTGTTTAAATACACGGGAGACATCTCCCGTCACGCAGGGTGCAGTCGCACCTTCCACAGATCTCCAGTATCATCTATTGATACTGGAAATGGCTCAAAAGGGCCACCACTTATGGGCTATTCATGCCCAAGCCACCTTTTGGGTGGCTTAATCTTCTCTCTCTCTCTCTCTCTGTTTAAATCATAGCATAAGTAAGAACTCTGCTTAGTGTTTGCAGGTAATAGTTGTGTGTGTGTAAACTAAAAGTCTTTGAAAATGTAATAAGTTACTACGAAACGCGTTCAAGTGTCGTGTCAGACTTGAAATAAATATGAGTTTTGGCGAATTGATTTTTCAATTACCATCAACAGTGAAAAGAAACATAGGAAAGATCAAGAAAATTCGTGTTAGAATTATTAATCTTACTTTATATATATGTATATATATATATATATATATATATATATATATATATATATATATATATATATATATATATATATATATATATATATATATATATATATATATATATATATATATATATATATATATATATATATATATATATAAACTGTATCTGCCAATCTTTTGACCATTTCAAAACCCTAATTAGATCGAATTGAAGTGATAGTGAATCGTTTTATGTGGTTTTTTTTCTCCCGATTTTTGTATCATCGACAAATTTGCAAATATTGCTGCTCAAACCTGAAACTAAATCATTTATATATATCATGAATAATAGAGGTCCAGAATAAGAGAATAACAGGTACAAATAATGGGTTTGTTCCCGTTTCCAGCCGTAATATCATTCATGTTGTTTCCAATATCACCAATTCCAGCTCCCAGATATTAAACCCTTAACCTGTCCCCCCTCCCCCCCCACCTCTGGCACAAAAAGTTCTATCCAAACACCGCATTTAAGAATCTCCCACAACCAAAATTCGCTTAGGTACTTCCTTTACTTTCTGAGCACCTTGAGGTACCTGCGCTCCCTTTGTTGCCTTCCCTTTCCAGCGAAAAGTGAAGGCATTGTGTGCGTTCCCACTGTGCTCCTTCCCATTGTGTGTCTTCCCACTGTGTTCCTTCCCATTGTGTGTCTTCCCACTGTGTTCCTTCCCACTGTGTTACTTCCCATTTTGTGTCTTCCCACTGTGTTCCTTCCCATTGTGTTCCTTCCCATTGTGTTCCTTCCCACTGTGTTCCTTCCCTCTGTGTTCCTTCTCACTGTGTTCCTTCCCTCTGTGTTCCTTCCCACTGTGTTCCTTCCCACTGTGTTCCTTCCCACTGTGTTCCTTCCCACTGTGTTCCTTCCCACTGTGTTCCTTCCCACTGTGTTCCTTCCCACTGTGTTCCTTCCCACTGTGTTCCTTTCCATTGAGTTTCTTCCCACTGTGTTCCTTCCCATTGAGTTCCTTCCCACTGTGTTCCTTCCCACTGTGTTCCTTCCCATTGAGTTCCTTCCCACTGTGTTCCTTCCCATTGAGTTCCTTCCCACTGTGTGCCTTCTCACTGTGTTCCTTCCCATTGAGTTCCTTCCCACTGTGTTCCTTCCCACTGTGTTCCTTCCCGCTGTGTTCCTTCCCATTGTGTTCCTTCCCATTGTGTGTCTTCCCACTGTGTTCCTTCCCACTGTGTTCCTTCCCATTGAGTTCCTTCCCACTGTGTTCCTTCCCACTGTGTTCCTTCCCACTGTGTTCCTTCCCACTGTGTTCCTTCCCATTGAGTTCCTTCCCACTGTGTTCCTTCCCATTGAGTTCCTTCCCACTGTGTTCCTTCCCACTGTGTTCCTTCCGACTGTGTTCCTTCCCATTGTGTGTCTTCCCACTGTGTTCCTTCCCACTGTGTTCCTTCCCACTGTGTTCCTTCCCATTGTGTTCCTTCCCATTGTGTGTATTCCCACTGTGTTCCTTCCCACTGTGTTCCTTCCCACTGTGTTCCTTCCCACTGTGTTCCTTCCCACTGTGTTCCTTCCGACTGTGTTCCTTCCCACTGTGTTCCTTCCCACTGTGTTCCTTCCCACTGTGTTCCTTCCCCCTGTGTTCCTTCCCACTGTGTTCCTTCCTACTGTGTTCCTTCCCACTGTGTTCCTTCCCACTGTGTTCCTTCCCATTGTGTTCCTTCCTACTGTGTTCCTTCCCACTGTGTTCCTTCCCACTGTGTTCCTTCCCACTGTGTTCCTTCCTACTGTGTTCCTTCCCACTGTGTTCCTTCCCATTGTGTTCCTTCCCACTGTGTTCCTTCCCCCTGTGTTCCTTCCCACTGTGTTCCTGCCCACTGTGTTCCTTCCCATTGAGTTCCTTCCCACTGTGTTCCTGCCCACTGTGTTCCTTCCCATTGTGTTCCTTCCCATTGTGTTCCTTCCCATTGAGTTCCTTCCCACTGTGTTCCTTCCTACTGTGTTCCTTCCCACTGTGTTCCTGCCCACTGTGTTCCTTCCCATTGTGTTCCTTCCCATTGAGTTCCTTCCCATTGTGTTCCTTCCCATTGTGTTCCTTCCCATTGAGTTCCTTCCCACTGTGTTCCTTCCCACTGTGTTCCTTCCCACTGTGTTCCTTCTCATTGTGTTCCTTCCCACTGTGTTCCTTCCCATTGAGTTCCTTCCCATTGTGTTCCTTCCCATTGAGTTCCTTCCCATTGTGTTCCTTCCCATTGAGTTCCTTCCCATTGTGTTCCTTCCAATTGAGTTCCTTCCCACTGTGTTCCTTCCCATTGTGTTCCTTCCCATTGAGTTCCTTCCCATTGTGTTCCTTCCCACTGTGTTCCTTCCCATTGTGTTCCTTCCCATTGTGTTCCTTCCCATTGTGTTCCTTCCCACTGTGTTCCTTCCCACTGTGTTCCTTCCCCCTGTGTTCCTTCCCATTGCGTACCTTCCCACTGTGTTCCTTCCCCCTGTGTTCCTTCCCATTGCGTACCTTCCCATTGTGTTCTTTCCCACTGTGTTCCTTCCCATTGTGTTCCTTCCCATTGCGTACCTTCCCATTGTGTTCCTTCCCACTGTGTTCCTTCCCACTGTGTTCCTTCCCACTGTGTTCCTTCCCACTGTGTTCCTTCCCATTGTGTTCCTTCTCATTGTGTTCCTTCCCATTGAGTTCCTTCCCCCTGTGTTCCTTCCCATTGCGTACCTTCCCATTGTGTTCTTTCCCACTGTGTTCCTTCCCATTGTGTTCCTTCCTATTGAGTTCCTTCCCACTGTGTTCCTTCCCATTGTGTTCCTTCCTATTGAGTTCCTTCCCACTGTGTTCCTTCCCACTGTGTTCCTTCCCATTGTGTTCCTTCCCACTGTGTTCCTTCCCATTGTGTTCCTTCCTATTGAGTTCCTTCCCACTGTGTTCCTTCCTATTGAGTTCCTTCCCACTGTGTTCCTTCCCACTGTGTTCCTTCCCATTGTGTTCCTTCCCATTGAGTTCCTTCCCACGGTGTTCCTTCCCATTGTGTTCCTTCCCACTGTGTTCCTTCCCATTGTGTGCCTTCCCACTGTGTTCCTTCCCATTGAGTTCCTTCCCACTGTGTTCCTTCCCACTGTGTTCCTTCCCACTGTGTTCCTTCCCATTGAGTTCCTTCCCACTGTGTTCCTTCCCACTGTGTTCCTTCCCATTGTGTTCCTTCCCATTGTGTTCCTTCCCACTGTGTTCCTTCCCATTGTGTCCCTTCCCACTGTGTTCCTTCCCATTGAGTTCCTTCCCACTGTGTTCCTTCCCACTGTGTTCCTTCCCACTGTGTTCCTTCCCATTGTGTTCCTTCCCATTGTGTTCCTTCCCACTGTGTTCCTTCCCACTGTGTTCCTTCCCACTGTGTTCCTTCCCACTGTGTTCCTTCCCATTGCGTGCCTTCCCAGTGTGTTCCTTCCCACTGTGTTCCTTCCCGCTGTGTTCCTTCCCATTGTGTTCCTTCCCACGGTGTTCCTTCCCATTGAGTTCCTTCCCATTGTGTTCCTTCCCACTGTGTTCCTTCCCAGTGTGTTCCTTCCCACTGTGTTCCTTCCCGCTGTGTTCCTTCCCATTGAGTTCCTTCCCATTGTGTTCCTTCCCACTGTGTTCCTTCCCATTGAGTTCCTTCCCATTGTGTGCCTTCCCAGTGTGTGTGGGAAGGCTTCATGTGGCACTGTATCAAAAGCTTTGCTAAAGTCAAGGTACACAACATCACAATCCTTACCACTATCAACCGCCTCAACTATGTTGGAATAAAATGATAGCAAATTTGTTAAACATGAACGGCCATTTGTTAAACCATGTTGTAAATCACTTATTAATTTATGTTTTTCATGATGAAGACAAATGGTATTTGCAGTTATCGATTCAAGTAACTTTCCCACAATAGACGTTAGGCTAATTGGCCGATAGTTTGACGCAAGTGATCTATCTCCTTTCTTAAAAATTGGTACCACATTAGCTACCTTCCATGACTCTGGCACTCTGCCTGACTCTATTGATTTATTAAATATGGTAGACAGTGGCTCGTGAAGCTCCTCTTTGAATTCCTTAAGCACCCTGGCAAACACTTCGTCTGGCCCTGGGGATTTGTTTGGCTTGAGTTTCACTATTTGTTTAATAACATCCTCCCTGGTAACTGCTAAACTAGTCAACCTGTCCTCGTCCCCACCCACATAGACTTGTTCGGCTGAAGGCATATTGTTAAGTTCCTCTTTAGTAAATACAGAGATAAAATATTTATTAAAAATACTACTCATTTCTTAGTCATTATCCGTTATCTGACTTGTCTCAGTTTTTAATGGACCTATCCTATATAGGATATACCTGATCAACCAGGCTGTGACTCATACGTCAGGCTGCGAGCAGCCGCGTCTAACAGCCTGGTTGATCAGTCCAGCAACCAGGAGGCCTGGTCGACGACCGGGCCGCGGGGACACTAAGCCCCGGAAGCACCTCAAGGTAACCTCAAGGTAATCCTTTCCCTAATATTTGTTCGATATTACTGAAAAAACCTTTACGATTTGTCTTTGCTTGCCCAGCTATGCGAACTTCATAGTTTCTTTTTGCCCTCCTTATCTCTTTTTTTAAATTTCTAACCAGTTGCTCGAATTCTTGTTCTAAACTGACTTCCCCATTCCTAATCCTTTTGTACCACGCTCTCTTTCTACCTATAAGGTTCTTCAGATCCTTTGTTATCCATTTCGAGTCATTAGTATTCGATCTATTCAATTTGTTTGGTATACTACATTCCTGTGCTTTGCTTAGAATGTTATTACCTTTATTCTTCTGTTAAAGTTACTTTTATTCTTATGTAACGTTAATTTACACAGTTGAATCTTGGCACGAAACTTGATCATGGAGAGTCACGTAGCCTCGGCCCCCGTAGCCTCGGCCCCCGTAGCCTCGCCCCCCGTAGCCTCAGCCCCGTGATAGCTCGCATACTGAGCTACAGTTTACACCGATGACCAACTTATTTCTTTAAAAGGTTGTTGTTGTTTAAAATTCACTACCTGGAACAAAAAGATCCAAGTAGCACGGGCTATGGTGAGCCCGTAGTGGACTATGATTATTCAACAGAGCATGATAAGGAAGCAATTAATGTGGTCTTAGCTTCTGTAATTTTTATTGTGTTATATAAATGATTTAATTACCTTTGTTTGGACGCCTCAAGGATATTGCTACATATTGGTGTGTCACTAAGATAAGATCAAATATAGTTCATGGCAAGGCCTCGGATTGCATAATGGTGAGGTTTAAGTAAGAAGTAGTTATGGTTTACAGTCCCAAATACCTTTCTCGGGTCAATGAAGAGCCCAATTGGGAACTCATTTTTGTCAAGGGCTGACAGGGACTTAATATATTGAATTTTACGACGTAGGAGTAGAGCTGTTTTTAAGTAATTTGTTTAAATATTTTTGATAATATAGGTAGATTAGATATCGGTCTGTAAATGTTTATGTCTGCCGTATCGTCTCCTTCATAAAGTGGCGTTATTCGTGTTTTTTTTAAGGATATCAGGGAAGTATGACACTAGAGATTTGTTGAACAACAGAGCTATGGGTGGCGCAAGGGCATGGGAGGCGCTCTTGTATACCATGGATGGTATTTCACTAATGTTCCCAACTTTGGTTTGGGTTTTTAGTGAATGAATGATGAACATAGCATCTGTCAGGATGACTGGTGAAAGGAGAAGAGAGTTAGGATAGCGGCCGGTAAGATATGTGATAACATGTCTGGGTCTGTGGGATTTTTTTGGTGAGGTAAGCACCAACTGATGAAAAGAAGCTATTAAATTCAGTTGGCATTACTGAACAGTTCAATACAGTAACTATACTGATAACCGTATAGCCGGGTTCAAGAACTAACATTTGACTCTGGGAATTACTTAACAGGCTCCTAATGAACATATTCTCAGAAAATGGACTTGACACGATTTTACAAAAAACGGAGCACTGACAAAATTAACCTTAAAATGGGGTACCGCACAACTAACCTTTTTCCTAGGTCGGACCCTCTGCCATTTTAAGGGTGACCACATAGCTTAAACTTTTCCAAAAATAAAAAGTTTAAGCTGTGCGGTCATACCATCTACTCAATTGTATCCTGGCCTGCCGTTAATGGTGTTCACGCCCTTATTCAGATCACAAAGCAATCACAATGGAGTGTTATATCAATGAGAAAATCATTTAGGCAATGGGGTGACTTGAACCATTTGGGCACCAGTTAGGAGCCCAGAAAAAATTAACAACAATTTCCTGCTATCTATAATTTGCCCATAGTTGCATAAAACAGGCAATCCTTCAACAGCTTCAGAGGTTTCTCAAGTCCTGGCCCTCTCGCTCAGAATTAAGGGGTAACTATTAGTTTTTCGTATTTCACACTATTAGCCTCCTCTCACCGACTTCAACCCACACAGGTTGAAGTTACCACCAGGTAACCAACCTGTAAGACGAGCTGAATGAAGCAAATGGGGAGATTAAAAGCCTGAAAGAGAATCCTCCCCAATACCAGACACGAACCATCTTTCAGGACGATGGTAATGTATCTGTAGAAGGGACTTCTACAATACAACCCTCATTTGCAGGCATAATTAGAACAAACCCGGAAGCTGTGTCTGCAATACAGGAAATTGCCATGAAAGTTGCTACTTCTCAGGAAGCAGCAAGATATACTAGCCAACTGATGGAGAGGAAAAGAGCAGTAATCGTAGTAGGAATTAGGGAACAAATAGGGGGCGGTCCAGAGGAGTGGAAACATGAGGACAAAACTACAGTTAAAGAGATCCTTAAAGGGTACAGATGGAGAGAACAGAACATAGAAAGGGTTTTCAAACTTGGCCAGTACAACAAGGGCAGAGACCGATTGATAAAAGTGATTTTCAAAAGCGAGGGAAATGAAGACATTTTAGCAAAGAAAAGCGGACTATTCAATGTAACAAAGTCAAAAGCAGTATTCCTGCAGAGGAATATAACAAGGGAGGAGAGATTGAGGGCGGCAGCAGCAAGGAAGGAACGCAGGGGGAGAGAGACGGGAAGCAGGGAACCACAACCCAGACCCCTACAATCCCAGAGGGGAGTGGGGAACCCTATACAGGCAGTACAACAGCCCCAGTGGGAGGAGGATCACACCCACCTCCCACCCAATTGAAGCCTTACCTGCCCCAACCCGCCCCCCCCCCCTTTAAGTGCCCACCTAGACCACCCTTCCCCCACTCCCCAATCTCCTCAAGTCCTCCCTTCTTCCCCCACACCCACAAGCGCTCCCTTCACCCCCACCAGGCCCTCCCTTCTTTCCCACCCCCTAAGTCCTCCCTTCTCCCCACTCCCCTAACCCTCCCTTCTTCCCCACCCCCTTACCCCTCCCTTCTCCCCACCCCCTTTCCCCTCCCTTCTCCCCCATCCCCTAAGCACTCCTTTCATCCTCACCCCGTCCTCCAAGCCTTCCATCCTCTCCAGCCCCACAAGCCCTCCTTTCTCCCCCACCCCCTAAGCCCTCCCTTCTCCCCTATCCCCCAAGCCCTCTCTTCGCCCCACTCCCTCTCCATACCGGAACCTTCCAGCCCCCCTCACAACCCAGATCACCCTCCTCCCCTACCTCCAAGCCCCCCCCTCTTTCTCCCTCCCCCAGCCCTCTCCTTCCCCTCAAGCCCTCTCTTCCCCCCAAGCCCTCTCTTCCCCCCCCCACCCTCTCATGCCCTGCCTTCTTCCCCACCTCATAGCCCTCTCCTCTCTCCCACCTTCTCAAGCCCTCCCTTCTTCCCCTCCCCAAGCCCTCCCTTCGCCCCTACCCTCTCCATACCTGAACCTCCCAGCCTCCTCACAGCCCAGGTGCCCCTTCAACCCTGCGTCCTTCACAGCCCAGGTGCCCCTTCAACCCTGCGTCCTTCACAGCCCAGGTGCCCCTTCAACCCTGCGTCCCTCACAACCCAGGTGCCCCTTCAACCCTGCGTCCCTCACAACCCAGGTGCCCCTTCACCCCTGCGTCCCTCACAACCCAGGTGCCCCTTCAACCCTGCGTCCCTCACAACCCAGGTGCCCCTTCAACCCTGCGTCCCTCACAACCCAGGTGCCCCTTCACCCCTGCGTCCCTCACAACCCAGGTGCCCCTTCAACTCTGCGTCCCTCACAACCCAGGTGCCCCTTCACCCCTGCGTCCTTCACAACCCAGGTGCCCCTTCACCCTACCCATCCCAGACCCTCCCTGTTTCCCTACTCCAGAGGAATCAACAGAAACTGAGGATGGACAGAAAAGAGTCAGTTTCGAGGTGATGTACTTGAACATAGATGGGATTACAAGCAAGGAAAGTGAACTTTGGGAAAGAATAAAAGAAGTAAACCCGGATGTAATTGGACTCACGGAAACAAAACTCTCAGGAATGTGTCCTGTAACGAATGCGGTGTTTCCCCAGGACTAAACTATAATAAGGAAAGACAACGAAGGTAGGGGAGGAAGCAGAGTGGCCCGACTCATGAGAAAGGAATGGAGTTTCAAGGAGATGGTTATCCCAGGCTGCGAGAGGTTCAAAGACTTCATAGTAGGCACCATGACAATGGGAGGACCAAGAGACATATAACAGTAGTGGTGACATATAACTCTTCACTACAACACAAGACCTAGGCAGGAATATGACAGAAACAACGTGGCAGTTAACAATATAATTGAGAGGGCAGCCTCTACTGCCTGTAGAAGTCGATCCCATCTGATCATCATGGGGGACTTCAATCATGTAAGGATAGACTAGGAGAACAAGGAACCGCATGGAGGAGAGCAAACATGGAGAGCTAAATTATAGGAGGTGGCAACAAAAAAAACAATTTTAAGCCAGCATGTCAGGGAACCCACAAGAATGAGGGGAAGCGATGAACCAGCGAGACTTGACCTAGTCTTCACTCTGAACGACTCCGACATAAAGGAAATTGGTTTCAAGGCCCTATCTTGAGATGATTTCGGGGCTTTAGTGTCCCCGCGGCCCGGTCCTCGACCAGGCCTCCACCCCCAGGAAGCAGCCCGTGACAGCTGACTAACACCCAGGTACCTATTTTACTGCTAGGTAACAGGGGCATAGAGTGAAAGAAACTCTGCCCATTGTTTTTCTCCGGCGCCCGGGATCGAACCCGGGACCACAGGATCACAAGTCCAGCGTGCTGTCCGCTCGGCCGACCGACCCTGGTAGGAATGAGCAATCACAGTGTACAGATGTTTGAGTATCTGGTCGAAGACGGGTTAATGTACTCAAGGAAGGGACCTGAAAACAAAAGGCTGACACCCCGTAAGGGAAACTATGTGGGGATCAGAAAACTCTTAAGAGATATAACATAGGGAAACAGAGCTCAGGGGAAAGACGGCCCAAGACCGGATGGAATACATCACGCAGAAGTGTAAGGAGGCAGCAGACAAGTTTATCCCGGTCCAATTGGAATAAAATGAAATTCAGATATTTTTTAGCCCATGGTTTAATCAGAGAGTTAAGCTAGCAAAGCAACTCAGTAAAGGGCGTGGAGAAACAATAGAAATAACAGGACACTTGAGAGCAGAGATGAATACCAGAGTACCAGGAATGAGTGCGTCAGGGTGAGAAGGGAGGCAGAAGGGCAGTATGAAAACGATATAGCAAGCAAAGCAAAGACTCAACCTAAGTTGCTGCACAGCCACAACAGGAGAAAAACAACAGTAAAGGAACAGGTAATGAAACTGAGGATAGGGGCTGACAGATTCACTACAAATGACAAGGAAGTGTGTGAGGAACTCAATAAGAAATACCAGGTGGTCTTCACATTAGAGTAAGGAAAAGTTCTAGAGATAAAAGAAGGAATAGTTAACCAGGCACTAGAAGAGTTTGAGATTACCAGTAGTGGCTGTAAGGAAGCTTTTGCTAGAGTTGGATGTGACAAAATCAAGAGGCCCAGATGGAATCATCCCCTGGATACTAAAGGAAGGAGCAGAAGCACTGTGACTGCCACTCTCCATGGTATATATTACTGGTAACCAAATCACTAGTAACAGGTGCACTGCCAAAAATTTGGAAGAGGGCAAATGTAGTCCCAATATACAAGAAAGAGGATAGACAGGAAGCACTGAACTACAGGCCAGTGTCTCTAACTTGCATACCATGCAAGTTGATGGAAAAGATTGTGTGAAAAAAGCTAGTGGAACATCTGGAGCGAAGGAACTTTGTGACCCAACATCAACATGGGTTCAGGGATGGCAAGTCATGCTTCACAGGATTAATTGAATTTTACGATCAGGTAAGAAAGAGAGGGGTGGACAGACTGCATATTTTTGGATTGCCAGAAAGCCTTTGACACAATACCACACAAGAGACTAGTGCA